AATTAACACATAATTTATTACATAATTTATTAAATAATAAGCAAAGAATAAATGATAGACATGAAGATATATATAGTATTAAATAAGAGGGAACATTAAGCATTAATTAAAGTTTTTATATTTATTAAGAATGATAATTTAATATATTTCATTTTATTCTTCATTGAATAAAAATCATTATAATTAATTTTTTTAAGCAGGATTTTATATAAAAAAGAAATAAAGATTTTCAAACTTTTTTATACAAGAATGGGAATGATCAGAGAAAAAAGAGATTATCAAATCAAATGACTTATGACAAAAGTAACTAAAGGATTTTACTAAATTCGTAGAAATTATAATTGGTTTGAGTAATATCTCTCAAAATAGACCATCTCAAAACTAAAATTTTGATATTCCATATCGTATTATCTACATTTCATACTTTATTACGAAAACAAATCTCATTCCTAACTAACTAAAGAGTCCACAAAATTGCAAACCAACTAACTCTCTATTTACTCTCTTTAAGCCTCTTTTTTTTACAAAAAAATATATCACTACTTTAAACTAGAAAGACAATCTTCCTCCACCCCTTTCATATTTAAACAAATTAAAACCATCATTAAAAGAACTATTGCTTGAACCAGTTATATATTTTAATAAAACCACATCAAACAAACAACAACCCAATAATTATTTAGTTGGCCATTAGCAATAACTATCACTCATAATAATTATTGTGTTTGTAAAAGATAGACTATTCTAATTTGTTCACTAGATTTAGTAATCGCTTACTTCTTTTCAAAGGATTTAAGACCTTTTTCATTATTTCTGACGTGGAAAGGGAAGGGAAATAAATGATAGAGATGGGAAATTAGGTTTTGTCCATTTATGTGTCTTTGTTTTATCTATTGGGGTGTACTATTTGCAAAGTGAATAGACATCTTCCGATACACATTTCATGTTATTGATTCTATTTTTCTTTCTCTGTGAAGCAGCGCAACTTGCGATCTCGGAATCTCTGTGAAGTAGCGCAGCTGCGGGTACACCTTTCGTCAGACCTTCCTCCGTGCGAACATAGATGATGATGGTTGTCCATCTCCACCATCACGCCATGAGTTATGGAAGAGAGCACGACAAAAGAAAGGGAGAGAATACACATCAAAATCTACACAAGAGGTTGCTGAAAAAATTGTAAGTAAACGATATCTTAATATTGGTTTTTGCATTTTGATTAATATTTGTTTTTGCATATTGATAAATATTGGTTTTTGCATATTGATTAATATTGGTTTTTGCATTTTGATTAATATTGGTTTTTGCATTTTGTAGGATTCTCTAGTTCAAGAAGCTGAAAAAGGTGCAATTGTGCTGGATGGACGTAATGATATCTTAACATTAGCCATTGGAACGTCTGAGCATGGAGGTCGTGTTCGTGGTGTTGGACAACGCCATAAACAAAGCACTTATTTTGGAAGGTCACGTCAACAACATCATATTGACGTAAATGAACAACTTGCAACAATGGAAGCAAAACTTAGAGCTGAATTTGAAGAAAAGTTTGCTGAAGAACGTAAGATGTATCATCAATCTTTAATGGAGACACTTAAGTCTATGGGTTTATCAAAAAGCACAGAAAATATTAAATGCATTAAAGAGATGGGATATGTCGATGGAAGCGGAAGAGGAAGTTGTTCAACATCAAAAGGAAGCGTAAAAGACGTGGAAGTTGATGATGCTCAGAGATTGTTACTCATGGTTTTGAAAATGAATGACAACCATTTGGAAGTACAATTAAGTCATTGTCCGAATGTCCCTAATTTTCTTATGTCAGCTAAGTGTATCAGAGAGTTATTGGTGGGTTTAGGTCATTGGCTTGACTTGTCTGTTCTGCAAATTTGGTGCGCGTAAGTACATTTTATTGTTTTATTAAAGTAAATCTCTATTAATATGTTATATCTCTCATCACTTTAATTCTAATGTTTATTTTAAAATTATTCAGGTATATTCATCGTGTATGTCTTGAGAATTCCCTTTCAGAATTTTATGGATTTATGGATCCTGCGAGGTGTATTTATAATGATAATGTACCGAAATCTCAAGTGGATGTTAAGAATTACGTACTACAAAAGTTACGTGATGAAAATAGAGTGTGCCACTTACTACCATTGATTCATGGGTAAGAGTTTTTATGAAATTGTGTTTTATATTATTTAATTTTGATAACATCTATATTTTATGTGACTTCTCTATTTCCATACACACGTACATGAATCATTGGCAATTAATAGTCATGTTTCCAAGAGACAATTTAGTGGTCGTATTTTGTTCACTTCATCGGGAAATTGATCAGAACACGAAGAAAATTATTACAAAGTAAGTTTATCGTGTATGTCTTGAATTGGTAATTAATAGTTATGTGATTTTTCATTGGCAAATAAATTTAATTATGTGATGTTTGTATTAGTTCTTTTGGGGTTCATCAAATGGCAAATGGAAATAGAAAAAAGGCTACATGGCTTCATCCCAATGTAAGTGTGATGTAAATTGTAATTTTATAGTTAAATTTATGATAAATATTCATTAATCGTGTCATTCAATTGTAGACAAGACAACAACATAACTCTAATGATTGTGAGTATTATGTGATGAAAAATATGTTGGATATTGTCTCTGCCAATATAACCGAGAATTGGATGCAGGTAATAACAATAACTTTACTTTGTTATTTACTTTATGTTTTGCAACTTATTTATATTAAATTTTAAAGAATAACTCTATTGTTATATTTATGTATTATAGGTATTTGATGATCCAACAGAATTAACACAAGATGATTTTTATGATTTACGACTTCGTTGGTCAAAATGTTTCTTTGAGTTATATAAAGATTAACCTTTATCTGGTGAGCTTTATAGAAAGATTAACCTTTATATGGTTTTTGCAAATGCATTGAGTTTCTTGATAATTTTTGCTGATGTTAATTGTTATTATTTATTGTCAGGCAATGTGATTTTGGTGTTGTCTACAGAAGCTACAACTCATCTACTTATGAATTTTATATTGGTAATTCAAGTTTGTAAAAAGACTTGTAAAAGGTTGAATATTTTTGTATGTTTTGTAGTATTTGTAAAATTGATGTGAGTTTCTTTGTTGTGATACAATTCAAGTTTGCAATATAATTGTTCATTTTGTAAATTTTGTTGTGAAAATATCGACCTAGATATGGTCTATTTTATGTTGGAAAGCTATGATATATATAGCGACCTAAATGGTCTATGTGATATTGGAAAAATATGAAAAAATTGGTACCAATTTTTTCTTATAGGGAATCATCCAGAAAATAAATGTTTTATTCAATTTTTTTTTTACTTTTTACATCGGTTATTCTGTCAACCGATGTAAAAACCTTCAACGTGTGTTTTCTACATCGGGCACAATGTAACAACCGATGTAAAAACCTCATCTATTACATCGGTCATGACTTCCACCGATGTAATATGTTGCGTCAGTTTTCAGAAAAAAAATATTGTATTTATTTTTCACATCAGGTATATATTATAACCAATGTAAAAGGTGTCCTTTTCACATCGGACCCAGAACCGATGTAAAAGGTATCTTATTTACTACTTCGCCTGACTTTACATCGGACCAAGAACCGATGTAAAAGGTCAATTTCGCCCGATGTAAAAAGTCATTTCTGCACTAGTGATAATACCGAACCTATGTATGGTGCCCAGGGTTTTTACTTCAATTTGGGAGGCGGGATATGAGGTTTTAGGAGGGTGTCTCATTTGCGGAAAGATGTCTCTCCCATTAGATCTCATCCGGATCATAAGTCTAAATGGGTTGCCTCATCTTGTGTTAAGTTTGTCAATGACAACCAAAAGAGTAAGTTCTGACATGATGTCTAGGTGGAGAATACCTCTTTGTGTGTACACTTTGTGAGAATATTTTCTATCTCGGAGCATAAATTTTAAGTGTATGTACTTTGGGTTTTGGGGTAAGGTATGTATGGGTTTAGAGTTTTAGGTAAAGGTGGGTGTTTCTTCTTTGGGAGGAGGAGATAGATGTTTGGGTGTGGAAGCCAGATTAAAGTAGGGGCTTTTCTAAAAGGTCAATTTATGATAACCTTCCAAATTTGGTTGGGGTATGGGAATGTATTTCAGAGAGGGTCTTGCAGGGGCTTTCTATGGTTTGGAAGAGTTGGGCGCATGCTAAGGTGGTTTCTAAAGTGGTTATTTTCTCTTAGCAGTTGATCCAAAATAGGTTGTCTACTAGGAAAATCTTCTAGTAATGCGGGGTGCGACATGTTTGAGGGGCAGGTGGGGTTGGCCAATCATTTATTTGTGTCGTGTGAGGTTTCTTTAGCAATATAGTATAGAGTCCTTTGGTTTGTGGGAGTGGTCAGGGCATTTACCAATGTCGATTTTAGGAGTCATGGGAAAATGTGTCTTTATGCTTGGTCTCGTTCTAACATTTTGTGGTCTAAACTATTTGGAAAATGCGGATAAAATTACTTTTTCTCAAAAAAACTTTTGTCAAAATCACTGGATGCCCTTGATTATCAGTTTGACTTGTAAGTGGGTTAATGTTGATGCTCCTGATTTGTGTTGTTTTGTTTTTCGTGTTATTATGCATCCTAAGATTTTGCCACAAATGTTTCTCCTGGGAACTTTTGGTGATATTTGCTTCTTCAGTATTATTTGTGACTTTTATTAATTTTTATAGTAATATATTGTTGTTTCTACTTGGATATTAAAAATAATTGATTGATAAAAAAATTAAGCGAAATTTTACCGTCTTGGCCAACATGCTTGGCGGGAAATGAAATCTTACATTAAAAAATATAAATACTAATTAAATTTGTATACCACAATGACAATAGTTCTAATACATATGTGGAATTATTTCTTTCCAATGATCTAAACTACTATAATGATCATCATCCTCATGTAGGGATGGTATGTCTAGTACTCTTGAAATAAAAAAAAATGAAAAAGTTAAAAAAAAATAGATCAGCCGGAGGGAGGTGGAGTATAAGCTTCACACTTAGGAGAAATTCCTGAAACTATAGGTTTGACATTAGAACATACAGCTTTTGCTGGTTTTCCATTAAACTTGAGATCAATATTACTTAACTCGACACCATCGCATGGCACACCACTGCTGCATATAAGAACCACTCCCTCTTCTGCTTTTGTAGTTCCCTTAATGTTCTTGAATATAACCTTGCTTATCCTAATTTTGGATGGATTCTTTTTATTGCACTGGTTCCATGGACAATACTCTTGGTCAATGATGATAGGGTTCCTAACATTATTCATGGTAATATCTTCAAACCGCATATCAGTAATAGTAAGTGTTCCTGGTCCAGATGGCCAAGTTTTTATCCTCACTCCATTTTCAGTATCTGATATTTTACAATTCTTAACTGTCAAACCTTCTACATTATCTTCATTTTGAAACTTTCCAAGGCTTCCAACACTAATACCGTGACCAGGTCCACAATTCACATTTTGGACAAGTACTTTTTTGCTACCATCACCCAATGACACACAATCATCTCCAGTAGCAATGTCAGTATTAAGAATTTTAACATCAGTTGATTTTCCCAAGTGGATTCCATCCGTGTTTGTACTGTCACCAGGAGCAGAAACTTTGACGCCATCAAATGTGATATTTTCGCAGCCGTAAACCATAAAATGGAAATTTTTGCTGTCCTTAGATGTAATTCCAGTGATGATGGAGTTGTTAACAAAATAAAAACCCATATTCTGTTGAAATTCAACCAGGGAATTATAAATAAAAACCCAAATTCTATTGAAATTCAATCAATCAATTATAAATAAAACCCAAATTTTGTTGAAATTCAACCCGTCAATTATAAATAAAACTCAAATTCTGTATTAATTAATAAATATTTACCATGGAAACTTTGTTATTAACTTTATGATTTTTGCTCCAAGCAGCTGTACCTTGTTTCCAAGTAGCTGCACCTTGACCATCAAAAATTCCCTTACCTGATAGGGTTAAATGGTCCATAGTTCCAAACCTGATCCATTGATCAATCCCTTTATGACATTGATTTATGTCTGAAGGTGCTTGAATTGTGCCATCAACTTGAATTTCAATTGGAGACTTACATGGACCTTGAGCATCTATTCCACTTGTCCTGTATTTACCGGATGGAATCACTATTTTAGCCGCACCAGGTGATGCACATGCTTCTTTCCAAACTTTTATGAAAGCCTTGTTTGTCAAACGAAACAATTAGAAAATAAATCAAATACTAATTATTTCCTCAATAATAATAATAATAATAATAATAATAATAATAATAATAATAATAATAAATAAATAATAAATACCTGGGTAATATCTGAATTTGGTGTTCCACCATATTTTGTTATGTCAAAATTGAGTCCTTGAACTACGCTTAAGTACGCTAGAAATAGGAATGAAACAATAATGCTAATACTCAACTTCGTCATGTCTTCTTTTATTATTCTTACTATCTACTTATTTATATACTTGTCGCTAATCAATGTTTGATTTGAAGATAAACTAAGGTGATACATTATTTATTTATACTTGAATGCCAAAGCTTCATTACCAAAAAAAACTATTGTCTAAATATGTCTCTTTCCTTTTTTAATTCTATGGTTCTTTTTTGTTTCTATTAATAACAATCGTTTTACATCTCTTATCGATAACAAATTACTATAAATAAATGTCTTCAACATTAACCACTCCTTGCCTTCATTATACTTACCACTGCCACCACTATGGATACTAAAAAAGGCACACATTTACAAGAAAATTTTGTTTAATCTTTTTGAACTAATATTTATGGTACTTAAACGGAAAATATAAAATAATCATAACTTTTTTGGTAATTTCATAATTAATGTAGTTACGAATTTGAAACTTATCCTATAAAAATCGACACATACGGATAGAGTCGTAATTAGTTTGATAAAATTCGTTGTTTTTATTATCTCATTATGTTTTTTAAAACTAGGCCATTTAAGTATATTTGATTAAATTGATTTTAGAAGTATTTTAATAGCAAAGTTAATCGGTATTTTTTTTTATTAACAATTAATCATGAAAAATTAGGTTGATATAAAAATAGAAAGTAAGCGGATAATAAGCGATATATTAAAGAAAAAGAAGTTAAAAAAATACATGATACAACCTGAAAACAAGATGTGCTCACAAACAACAAAATCGATAACAAAAAAGAAACTAAAGCCGAAGGAAAATAAAACAAACACATGCAAAATCCGCCCAAAAACCAACTACATTGACACAACAACCAAAACAAACACAACATCATAAAAAAACACGAGAGAGCAAACCACCACCTTCTCTTGAGCGACTAATGAAGCTTGCCTCCTAAAAAATTGCTAAACCCGAAACCTTAGACACAACATTCATCTAGAGAGAGAAAGTTATAAGAAGGAAGATTTGATCACCAACACAAAACTCAAACAAAAGAAGAGAATTAGCCACCCACCACACCCCTAAATGCCTAGCCAAATGAGCGAGTCTCGCTCCAAGTCAATGAGAGAAACGACAAAGCCTGGAGCATGGGCTTGTACCCACATCCATATTAAGCTAATAATTTAGGAAATCCAATAATTAATTGACAAGCTTTATTGAATAAAAATAAGTTTGTTTCGTTTTCCAAAAAGTCTAGACACCATAATGTCAAATCAATACCAAGCCTAAAGACGTCTTTACCTCAATTCCTTGACCCTGAAACAGGCCAAAAAGGTCTGGATGGATTTGGCTTCCAAACCCAAACATTTACCTGATCATGTTTAATCAGAACTAAGATAAGATCTAGGAAATACTCATGATGCTCCTCGTCCCAAATTCGATAAGATTATCTCCAACTCAAACACAAACTCAGACACCCCTTGCACAAGAAGGAAAAGAATCCACCAATTGGAACTTTTTCACTGAGAGAAAAATATAACCTCTCTAAAGACACACTCAAAGGAGTGTATCCCACCCAAACATAATACCAAAACCTTGTATTTTTCCTGTCCCTGGAAAAATTAGACCAAGATGATGCAATATAGTTAAACATATAATCAAAAGAAGATTCTATGAGATAGACACCTCTCCACCAAAGTGACACCCTTATAAACCACAAACTCTCGCATAAAAATGAGTCATAACATTGAGACCCATGTTTATATTTGGTAATATCACCCCAAAAGGCTGGCAAATCAAAAAGAATTATCCACCCTCATTTACTTATCATTGCAAAATTAACAAGTCTAAGATTTCTGAAGCCAAAGGCTCCTTCCTTTCTGGCCTTACATACTTCCTTCAACTTAACATACACTACCTTCACTACCTCTTTTGACCCCCGTCCCTCTCCCAACAAAACACCTTTTTCAAATTAACCAATTTATTCCAAACCAAGATTGGAATCTTCAAGAATGAAAAAATAACACTAGGATAACAATCAACACTTAATTGAGCATGACCAACAAACCTTTTAACCTCACAAACCCATTCATCTAGGAGGAAAATATCTTAGAAACCAGCTTGACAAGAGGATCCCAAGACGCTTCCTTCCTCCGGTCCCACACGGTTACACTAAATACTTTAAAGGATAAAAAACCATCTTATAGTATAAAAAGGATTATGCTAGGTGCTAAAAAGCACCACTCTCATTAGCAACAAACACACTACTCTTGTAAAAATTCACTTATAGGCCCAAAGCAAGGTAAAAAATTATAAAAAATATCCTTGTTAGCCAAAAGGTTATGAACTTATGAGATACTCACAAGGGAATTGTCACCCGCATATTAGAGATGTGACACCTCAAACCCTTATTAACTTACCTTGAAACTCTTAAACACCCAAATTGGTACCACCATTTTAAGGAAGCACTGGCCTCTTCAACCACAAAAAAAAAAAGAGGGATAAGAGATCTCTTTTTTTTCATACCCTTATGAGTAATAATCTCCATATTTGGGTAACCAATCACCAAAACTGAAAGAATAATAGAAAAGACACAGACACAAATCCAACTTCTCCACTTATCATCAAAACCAAATCTCCTCAACACATAATATGAGAAAGATAAACTGAATGAATCATATACATTCTTAAAATACACCTTAAACACTCAACACTCATTTTAAACATATTATCATAGTATAAAACCTCGTTAAGAGCAACTACTTTATCCACTAGCTGCCTCCCCTTAAGAAAGGTTGATTTTTTCGGAGAGATAAGCTTCCCCATAACCCCTTTTAGCTTAGCGGCCATCACCTTAGCCACCAACTTAAACAACAACCTGCAAAGGGAAATAGTCCTAAAATCTCCTAAAACCAAAGGAGACTCAACCTTTGGAATAACCTCAAAGAAAAAAGATGCCAAAATCGTACGCAATATTGAATTTTTGAAAAACTGGTCGAACATTACAACACCCCACCCTAAACTAACTCCCAAAATATTTTATAAAAAAGAAATTAAACACATTCAGGACTAGACTCTTAGACCCATCCATCTCGACAAACACTTTATTCACTTCTAAAGGTAAAAACCTATCAAGAGTGACTCAACCTCTACTGTAATGAGACGCATCAATAAAATCTTTTCAAGGGCCGCATCACCCAAGGATAAGTAATGATTTAAATTTGGGGGTGTGATAAATCAGTATATGTGAGATATTCAAGCCCTTCACACTTGGCTTTATTTTGTTATTAAGCCTGTTTATTAGGTTAATTTAAGGTCCTTTTTATCTTTTAAGTAATTTTGTGAAGAGCACAATATGTGATATCTTTTGTGATTTTTATGTGTTTGTCACATGTGTAGGATTTATTTAACATAAGTTTTGGAATGACAGAACTTGAGCATCACCTTAACCTTATTTTTTAGATAAGTCTTAAACACAAAGTAGGTTAAAAGGATTGAATGTTCATGGAACTAGGGTACATGTGGCAACAATGATATAATTTGAGTGCAAATGAGCTGGAAACGATAATGGATAAGATCAAGCACTACAAGAAAATTTATTCAAGAGACGTTCTCCATATAATGGTGCACATAATTTTGTCTATGCAACACGCCTGTTGCGGGAAGTGTTAACGCCTACATGCTTAAACTTGTACTACTTATAGCTTATTTGAATGGAAGGAGACAAATTATGTTGTGATTAGTGCGCCAAACGAAAGAATATTCACAAGGTCCAGGATCCAATGACAAGATAAAACCCTAAAAGCTAGTGGATATAAAAGGAACCTCTTGGAACAAATGGAGAAAGACTCAAAAGTTTAAAACTCTAAAATTACTCTAAAAATCATCTTATTCAAGAAGAAAAAGAAGAATAAGATTGAACCAATAATGAAGAGTTCCTCCCTTTCTCCCTCTATTGAAGAGGTGATGAGCATCATGGATTGACATAACTCTCCTCCTGCTAATTTTAAGATATCAAGGAGTAGAGTGTCATTCTTAGCTTTAAATTTTATTTTATTTGTGTTTAGAAATGTTGAATGTAAGAAATTATGTTGTAGTATTTTTTTTTGCTCATCATGAGCTAAACCTCTTTATGTTAAGAAATGTGATGTTTAAGGAAAATTAGTAATTTGTGCTAACATGGTGTGATTTGAAGTGATGAATTTTATTATGTGAAATAATTATATATATTTATTTCTTTTCTTGATCACCTTATTAATAGGTAAAAGTTAGTTAAGGGTTCAGAGATTCATTAACTAACGAACTTCATTAGTAAATATGGTTGAAAATAGTAGGATAAATATATTCACTAGATTATTCACTTTAGAGATAATGGACTAAAATGATAGAACAATTCATAAGATACAAAAAATAAACGCTTTAATGATATTGCGATACCTCTAGAGTTTCTCACTTGACTTTTTGCATACGCCTTGATGTTGTAGAAATACACCACTGGATCACCTTATGCCTCATCTGTCACGACATATCTCATCAGACACACACAAAATATGAATTTCATTAGATGGATCATTGCTCAACATGCCTCTTATTATTGATTTTACTTATTCATCATCACTTATCATTTATTGTATTTCAACTTGAATCTCTGATAACCCAATATCATTGTTACGATTTTGCCCGTGGCTATTCATAAGATTTTAATAAAAGAATCAACTTAATTTATCATAATATATGTGGGATCAATACTTTTATTTTACATCACTTTCTATAATTTGACTGTGTATACTTGCACATATTGATTGTTCATTCAACATTAACCTTATTAATATAATGTAACACCTTATTCTCCATCAAAACCTCCTCCACTAGTTTTTTCTTTAAATGAAAACTTCCCTAGTACCTTAGGAATACTTGTTATCAAAATTTTAGACACAAAGTTGAAGAGAAAGAAAAGTAAGGAAAATTCGTTAAATATGTTAGAAGTAAGTCATTCAGAAGTAGCTTATTAATCAGAAGTATAAGCATTTGGTGTTCTTGTTCCAGA